AATTCTGCGCTGCTTCCTCTGTCTTTCTCTGACTCCAAATATTTCCATTCACCTATATTGAGGTGTGCTGTTTCCATTTAGGTTTCCTCCAAAAAATATATAAATTTACAAAAGTGATGCAGTGTGTTCTTTTAGTGGTACTTAAGGTCATATTATCAGAACAGTTTAAGATTCAATTTTCCGTGACTGTTCTGGAAAACCTGGCCACTGGTTTAGATATTCAAATGGGAGCTGACCCAGTCACAGAGTATTTCTAGCAAGGTGTTATTAAATTTGACCTGCTTTTCAAAACAATGCATCCTTCCAGACCTAGGTGCCTGGATATATTAGCTGATATGTGAAGAAAATGACTGGGCAGAACCTCATTTGTAAGTTTACTTAAGAGCTACTCAGTATTCTGACCTGATATTTCCTCATTTTTTCCAGTGAAATACTGTTTCTTTCATCAGTTTTGCCTTTTTTTGTTGTTGTTGTTCTTTGAAAAAGGAATACTAGCCTATACAGACCTGGAGATAATTGATACATTAATGAATAGGACACAGAGGACATTTGTTCAAATGTCTGTGTGTCTTTTTCCCTGTATGAATTTCATGATTACACTGACACTGCTTCATTCACTGAAGAGGACATGTTAAGTGTTCATGGACACTATAAGTCAGCTAAACATATCTAGTACTTTCCATTCTAAACCCTCAGTTTTAGAGTTTGCAGTTTTTACTACTTAAACATGCAAGTGGGCCAAAATAATATTAGTTCAAACTCTGACAGTTTTACCCCTTAGTCCCCTAAATGAGAGCCATCTCATACAAGTTTTGGCAAGAGACAAAGACAGCGAGCCCATGAGAAAACTCACAGGCCATTAATCACTTTGTATTCGGAATAAGGCTAACACGTTACTCAAGAGATGATGCTTAAAGACACACACTGACTGAGGAAAGTGAAAAATAAATGTTGAATAGAACTGCCCATTAATCAAACACTGTCTGACCTGTTTGGTGAATGAAGTAGTGTGCCTTGAATAAAAATAGTGAAAAATCACATCCCCGGACAGCTACCAAAAAGCAACTGAGTAGAATTTTGTTCTGTCCTGATCAGCATTTAACAATCAGCTTAAGTAACCTTAGTAAGGGTCTTTGGAGAGGAAAGCAGGAGGGATGATTGCTTTTTGAACGTAATAGAAAAGCTATCAAAGCTGTTAGTCTACTCCCCCTTTGAATGGAAACCAGAGTAAAAAGTACTCGGGTTGCTCCAAATGGAGCTTAATTGTCAAGCCTTTTGTTCCTGTACTTCTGATTCACCTCTGATTGAAATTATTCCAGGTGGGCTAATACACTACTAAGAGCAGTGACTACTTCCAGCTTTGCTTAAAGGGTGGTATAGGGGAATATCTGCTGGTGGGAGTAAACAGTAGGCTGAAATCAAGCCATCAGCTATTTAGTGGGACAGGAATCAACCTAGTGGTGATGGTCAGGCTTGAAGATCATCAACCAATGTTCAGCAGATGTCCCTGAGGAGATTGTGTTAGTGTCCAAGACTTCACTAACTGGACCTTCCAGACAGGGCTGTAACCAGCTCAAATGTGAACTCTCTCCTTACCCTTCCCCTGCCCCATGCTTCAATCGACAGGAAGATTAACCCAGTGGGAATAACCATGCCACAGAGAGGCATTCAGCTATGAACAAGACCTAGTACCCTATGGCAGTGAACGAAAATTATCCTCAAATAGTATGCCCTATTTTGTTCTCATAGCTATTGCTATTATTGTTACTATTTTTGTCAATTTTAATTTTTTTTTTACTTTTATGGGTTATTAATATCACTTAATTTCTATTATTTAATATATGTTCAGACCAAATTCCTAACTTTCTCGTGATTTCCAGGGGAATTTATTGGAAAATAATGTTTCAACACTTTCCTATATCCTGTGCCATTACTTTAAGCATAATGAAATAACTTTCTTATACCAGTGCATGACTGTAGAACTCTCACTGTACTCATTCATCCTTAAATAACTTCCTTGCAAGACCCATGTTCTGTCTGCTTTTTACCTATTTCAAACCAGATATCGCCTAAAATCTGCCCCATTCAGGCGTCTGCAAGGTCAAAAAGTTTGCATAAATGGGAGGCCAGAAATTGATGCAATGAGTCAAACCCTGGTCTCATTTACACCTGTACTGAATGCAATCTCTTCTCTGTGATGTGACTGTGATTGTGCCTAATTTCTGAATCTCAGGAAGTTCTGGGTCAGGTACATTGCCGGTATGTATTTATCTGATTCCTGGCATGCACTATTTTTGAAACAGCTTAGCAATGGTTCTCTGAGTGATTTAGTGTAATGGGGAAGAGAAACTGAAGAAAGAATTATTCTGTGGGGGAAAAAACATGTGTCTTGCATAAATGTCATTTTCAGAGCTCGAGATATGGTGGTTAAGCATAAATACCGCATAAATGCTTCTTCTCCAAGCTCTGTAGTTACTCCTCAGTGGGAGGCGGAGAGATGCAGGGAAATTTTTTCCAAGCTAGCCCCACTGTAAACCAAGTAGTTAGAACTGAAAATGGGTTGAAGATAGGAGCTTTTGGTAGTTACAGGGATTTCATTTTGCTTTACAAAGACTTCTTGTAGACTCAAGTGTGTGACTGAACTACTTTTCCTCTCTTTGAAGCCACTACTTAGCTACTCAGATATAAAAATATGGCACTCAGCAATGGAAAATACAGGGCTGTTATTTTGTAATTTTCTTACTCATTTTCACATGACCACAGATTTCTGTTCTGAAAGAGTTAGAGTTTGATTTTTGAGAGCAACAGATGCTTCAGATTCATTTTGCACATCATTTGGGAGCACAGTTGTTTTGACAAATGTGTATCTTCTGTGATCACATGGTTATAACATGTAAGGACCAATATCCACCTTGCAAAGTTAACACTAAAATGGCTGGAAGAGCATAACAGCCAGCAGGAAGGACTGTCTGCAAGACTATCTGCCTTTTCACAGCTAAATCTTAGGAGTAACTTGGTACAAGAGTAACTCGGTACATACCAGCATGAGAGGAGAATTAGACCCAGTGTAAGCACTGATGTGTTGCATAGGTCAACTGTGATGTCATTTTCCTTTTTGCATTCTGCCCTATAAATATAATGAAAAACCATGAGGGAACCACTCTTTTCTCAGTGCCAATTGTTGATCACCAGGAAGGGTGATTCAGCATTTCATCATCAGTAATAAAAGCACAAAGCCACAGAAGTCAATATTGGTTTGGGCATGTGTAATTGAAAAGAAACTGTAACTGAAAAAATCCTCACAGCACACTAATCCAAGAGCAACCATGCAGGAAGAAGAAACCAAACAAACAGACGTGTTCTTCTAAGAAATCCTGTGTTTGCTAGGAAAAAAATACCCCAGAAAAGAAAAGAGAAGGAAAGGATGTCTGCACTCACTGAAAGGTGGTTGAAAGGGGCAACGGAGTGGGGACCAGAAGATGACCCCACTCCCTTGAAGTCCCCAGGACACTCCTCACACTCAACCCCATTCAGTCCCTATCTCTCCAGCAGTCTCTGTAGGAAGGTGGGGAGGATCTGGGTTCCCTGTCCTAAAGGGAGCTGACAGGTGAAACATCTGAGCCTGGCTCACTGCAACAGCCCATGGCTACCTCAGCCTGCCTCATCTGGCTTGGAAAAGTGGCCACTTCAGACACCTCTTCCTCTGAAAGTGGAACACAAGGCTTTGGCACCAACTTGACAAAACCTTCCCTGAAGTGCTTCTTTCTGAGGTATCACTTCACTGAATGAAACTGGCAGCAGGTACATGGCTTTGACTATTCAAATAACCAATGAGCTTAATGAGTACTTTCAGATGCAGGATCCTTCTGACTAATATTTATCATGTCTGACTAATGAGGGCTGGTTAAAATGTCAAGAGTTTTTAGGGTTTTTTATTACCTCATTTCATACTTACTCTCACAGTAGATATAATGAACAGATACATTGTTTACTTGTTCTGTTTATGCAGTCCTGCAGGAATAAAAGAGTTGCTACAGCATCACTGCTCCTGCATAGTTTAGGAAGTGTTATGGTTGCATGAATAAAAGTGACTGTTCTTGCCTGGAAGCAGGCAGACTTGGGTCTGTAATTTAAACAGGGCCTCACTGAAGCTAATGCAGAGCTACTGTTGGCCTAGTGGGAGAATTCTACTTCTTTAAAGCAAAATTTCTTCTGTAGCTCCCCTACATGTGACACATAACTTTTCCACTGTCAAGGGAGGAGAGCACTGTCAAACTTGTGGCACCCTCACTGCTCCACTCAGGGACATGCAAAGAGCCCTTCCTGCACCCTCTGAACTCTGGCCCAAGATGGTGAGAGCAGCAGTTCCTGGGAGCAATTCTCAGTATTGCTCTGAGCATGTGTAATTGAAAAGAAACTACAACTCAAAAAAAATCCTCACAGCACACTTATCCAGTGCAACCACGCAGGAAAAAGCAACCATACAAACAGGAATGTGTTTGCCTATGGGTGGGCAATGGCAAGGGAGCTGGGTTAACCCTCTCACATGTGCCTGGAGGTACCTCTCATCCACAAAACCTGGGCCTCCACTGGTGACCCAGCTCCCCAGAGCTACTCCAGAGCCCAGGTGCTCCTTCAGTGACTCCCTCAGCCATGCACAGCCATGCCAAGACCTTCCAAAATAACAAAGAGTTTTGCTTGGTGTTCAGGAGGCAGAGACACTGTTGGTCAGATTATCATATAGCAGAGTATAATCCAATATATATCTAAAGGCAACAGCCAGGATATATATTTCCTTTTAGCCAGGAGACTGGGGGGAAAATGCCTAAAATGGAGAGACAATGGGTGCACAAATGCACATTTTTAAAAGTAGGTAAGGCAAAGAATGCTGTCAATATTTGCTCTGCTGCAACTGACCCGTCAGTTCTTTCAGATCACTTGTTTCAGTGGATGGAAACTATTGATTTTGTCTAATTCAATCTTTGCTGTGCATTTCACAGGGACAAACGCTAAGCATGGACTGCGCTGTAAGGCTTGTAAGATGAGCATCCACCACAAGTGTGCAGACAGCATCGGACAGCAGCGCTGCATGGGCAAGCTGGTAAGTGAGCAGCCCAGGGCAGCTTGTGCTGGAGCCACTTTCTTTGTGTGCCTGAACCCCAGGTGTGCATTTAGCTGCTGCATTAACAGAAACCACACCAGATCACTTTATTGAGGTGGGAAAAGTGAAGCCAGGTGGTGCCCTGTTGTCAATTTGGGCAACTGCTGCTGCACAAGAATGCAAACAAAACCAAAGCACAAATCTGGTCTGCTTTGTGGATGTGAAAATACAGTTACAGAATACAAATTTAGCTAGCTAACAAAATTAATTACATTGACTTCAGCTGTGCTTGCTGTAGTGTAAACCTCTCAAAGAATGCTATAAATTAATCATAATATTTCAGTAGGGTTTAACAAATGAAAAATCCTTCAAATTATGTTTTATTGTTTTCTCCACTGCTAGAGATTGAATAAAAAAGAATAATTCACCTTAAAAAAAAAACCCAAAGGATATTTCACAGTAAGACATTACAGAATTTGAAGCAAGCTCTTAGCAGGAGAGCCTGGGAGGAGCCTGCCTCTATATGGACACATCACTTTAGTGCCTCAGTTGTCTTCTGAGCAGCAAAATCTCATGCCTGGCAATGACAGTACACCGTGTATGAGATAATTCTAACGCACCTTGTTCACTTTTACAGGAATTTGGTTCCTTTTTGTTACTTTTGGAAAAAGAACTTGTAAAAATACCAATTAGAATATGAAAAGCAAATACATACATTCATGTTTCAGATGTTCTCAGATTTGTTGCAACTTGAAGGCACTTGAAACAACTATGAGCTAAAAGCAAACAAGTTTTACTGTGTTAAGTGATGGGAAAATGCAAGCACTGACTTCAAAAGTGCTACAAACCCCACCTTGCACTGGAAAGATCTTTTCCACACAAGAGTGTTCACTGAAAGCTATTGTTGCTTACATCCCTGAGGCAAGTCTTTATGTATCTAAACCATGATCATAGTTCTAGTATGAAACATTCTGGTAGAGGAAGTTGGTCCGTGAAGAGCTCAATGACAAGCCCTGGACAAGGCAAATATTATCCCATGTTAATTGATTCATGCATTTCTTGATTCCAGCCTCAGCTCTTGTAGTTATTAGTTTACAAAAACAAAAAAATAGAGACCAAATTTACATCAGGAAGTTGTCAGCAAAGTCACAGGAGTTTTGTGAGTTCATGCTGATGCTCTGTCTGAAGGTAAACAAAGGCTAAAGAATCTGGAATTTATTCCTCTAAAACTCCAAGATTATCAGTCCCCTCAGTCTTTTTCAGTCTTTTCTGCAGCTCATTACCTAAAGAACTAGTTGTCTATCAGGTTTTGAGGTACACTGAACAGAGGATATGGAAAATATGCACATCTCTGCGAATTTTCCTCACTTCTCACTGTGACTAGAAGTTCTCACAGACTGCAGACATTTGAAATCGGAGACCATTTATGAAATTCCAGTGCCTTGAAGGCATTAATTTGGAGTACTAAGCATTTGCCTGAATTGAGATAATTTTTTTAGAGTGGAATAGGCACCATTTGTTTTCCATATTATGGTATTCTTTAATAATAGCTCGAGTTGTTATGGTACATTTCTCTACAGGGGGATACTGGGAATACCTGGTAACAGGTTGAAGAGCTTTTTGACTTTACAAGAGGAAAAAAAAAAACAACCAGAAGTGGAAGCTGCAGTCAGTCAGTAGTAAACCTTAGAAAAACCTGTAGAAAGGTTCTAATTTCCTTGGGTTTCACATGTGCATATGTGGGACATCAGGATTTGGAGTTAGAATGAAAGATAGTCATATGTTTAACAAATACAACACAAATGCAAATTCACATTATATAAGATAGGGAAACTTCCTAGAACCTCTAAAGATTCAGCACTTCTGCTGCAATTAATTAGTGCTGCTTTTGTGAAAGTCAAAAGAGAAAGGAGAGCTGAAAATGAGCCCCACCTTGTACATAAATATATGAAACTGATTTTTTTCTAGGAGAAAAATCAAATAAACATCTGATCTCTAAACTTCACAGTGACTGAGCAACAGGAGGCAAATTTCCAGCCTCACCACAGTGTTCCACCATTAACCAGAGAGCTGAGGCTATTTCTACTTCAACAGTCAAGGCAAGCAATGCACTTCACTTGTTTTTGCTTTTTCTCCCTCCAGCCAAAGGGATTTCGACGGTACTACAGCTCACCACTGCTCATTCACGAACAGTTTGGCTGCATCAAAGAAGTGATGCCTATTGGTAGGTTTTGACTGCTTTTCCATTCAGTCTTCCTTTGGCAATGCTCTGCAACAGCAGCGGCAGACTTCCAGCCATGGTATTTACCCTCAGCAGCCGTCCAGCTCCTTTCGGTGACTGGATGCCCTTCTGCCATCTCAGGAAAGGACCACTTCAAAGATACAAAGCTGGAAGAGGAGAGGGTGTGTTCATTGTGTGTTTCACTCAAAACCCTGTATGCATACCTCTTAGCAATTACACTGTTTATAATAATGACTACCTGAGATCAAGGTAGGAACTTAGAAGTGAAGAAACACTGAAATATGGAGATAAGGGTGTGAGCTGGGAAAGAGTAGATTAAAAACGGGAGGATCAAAACAGCAGGAGGCATTCAAATCACTGGTCCAGCTTTTGAGGGATGCTTTTTCATCCATATTTCTTACTTTCCTCATATTGTTTTCTTTACTGATTATATCTACATGTTGTCTGAGTTCTTGAAAGACCACTTTTTCCTCCCTGTAATACCAAATTTCTAAAGAGAAACATTTTGAAATGGAGAAGCTAAGTTTATTCTGGAAAATATTTTTCCTGACCAGGCAGACCTGGAAGTGCAAAAAATAAAAACTAAAACTGGTAGTCAGTTTAAAACTACCTGTCTGATGACATTTGCTTTGTTACTGTAAGCAGTTTAAAAAAACAAAAATTACAAGGATTTCATCTGAGTTTCTCATTCTAAAAAACACCTATCATTTTTATCAGAAGTAATAGAAATACTTTCAATAAACTCTGGCTAAAAAAATGAGATGTGCTTTGCTATTACCAAAATCCAAAATCTATTGTATTTTCTCAGTACTTTGGCTAAAATTTCCCTCCTTCTGCATAATGCTACAAATGTGTCATAATCTTCATGCCCACGGCCTTGTGTCACAAGGGAATTTGAGGTCCAAAAATACAATATGTAGAAGAGAGTTTGAACTGAATTTTCTTGTTCCCAGTGAAGACATCCATTTCTCTTGCATGGGAGATGATTTTTTGTGGCTAGCTAAGAGGGAGAGCTGCTGTTAAGGGTGATCCAAGAAGTCACTGGTAGAGACAAACATGGATTAGAACCTCCTAGTATTTTGTCTTCCTTACCTCCACACAGGCAGCACCAGTGATGATTAGAGGAGAATATCAGGTGAAGAGAGACAAGGCAATGGCCAAGAACTGAAGAGCCTTTATAAGAGGAGGATGATCTTTATGGGAGTAGAGAGGCAGCAGAATATTGACAGCAATTCTGTTAAGTTCAACACTCACTTTTTACCAGGATATTCTCTCAAATTGTTTCTGAGCATACAGCTCAACCTCTTGGTAGAGGCAGGTGTTGCTCCAAGTTAAGCAGGAACATGACCAGAAATATCCTCAAGGTACTGATTGATACATGTTTTTCTCCTTCTGTTGCAGCCTGTGGAAATAAGGTTGACCCTGTGTACGAAACTCTCCGCTTTGGGACTTCTTTAGCCCAGAAAACCAAAAAGGGAAGTTCTGGAAGTGGGTCTGATTCTCCCAACAGAAACTCTGTAAGTGTCCCACATCTTTCTTCCATTTTCTTTCTGGAGGAGCAACAGATATTCATTCACATGAGCTTCTGCTGGAGTTCACAAAACTTGTATTTCAAACCGCAAAAAAACCCTAAAATCTTATTCTCGTATTCTGTATTGAGACCAGAAAACTAGTTATTTTTGCAAATTTTATGTATCTTTTAGATGACTGCTGAGAAAAAGAGAAAAGTACTAATTAAATTAGTGAACTGTTTTTATCAGTTTGGAAAAGGAAATATTAATGTTTTTATTTTGCATGTCCCCACCGAAGTGTAACAGAGATGTTGAACTGTCAGGCTGGAGTAGATGCATAGTGATATTTGCCCTTCACACAAGTGATAATGATGAGTTGGAGTCCTCAAAACCTAGATTTAAAAGTACATGACCCCAGTACAAGCCCAGAAAAAATTAAGACATTGTTACTGCAACAAAGTAAGGGACTGGGACCTCCACCTCTGTCCAGTGCAGAATCATAAGGGAGGCATTACAGATCCTTCTCTCTCCAAACCCTGAATATAGACAGGTGTGCTCAGGTTGTTGTATCCAGACAGGGAGATTTTGGCCTTAATGATAATGTTTGTCATTCACTCTCTCCAATCATAAAAGTCACTTTCTTCAGGACCATGGTAGAAGAGGTGGAGAACAAGGGAATGGATAGTTCCCTTGGCCCTGCCTTTGCTACACCCATACCTTGTTCAACAGTAACATTGGCAATTTCTTCCTTACAGAAATGGTTATTTATCCCAGTATTGGGATCCATGAGATCAGAAGGTCCTTCGTGGTGTTAAAGTAACATTTCCTACCCTCTCAGCCTCTCATAAACAGGTGCTTACACCTAATGTTTGAGGTCTTCTTCCATTCCCAAGAGAGCCTCCCCACCAGAAAAAAACAACAACAAAAAAACCAAAAAAAAACCACCACACCTGAATCCACTGTAGGCTAAAGCTGATTGTCATCCTCAGAAATCAGACCCACATTATCTGATAATCTCTTCTGAGCACATCTCATAAGACAAATCACTGGGCACAGAGACATGATGAGAGTTGGTCTCTCAGTCTCAAAGCAAATACTTATGTGCTTATTATCAAGCCATGCTAATATATGTTTGTCTGTTTAATATCTGTAATATCTTTGTTACATTTCCCTGGTTTTTAAATGCATGGTCACTCACACAGCTGACCTGTAATCTCAGGTGGTATAGGTGGACTCTAAACAGGCATTAATTCATGTCAGACAGGAAAGACAAACTAATTAAAGAAAGAATTAAGTGAAGTCTGCAAGGGGTTTATTAAGGGACATGTCCTCTATCCACCCCCATTTGTGCTTCAAAAGGAATTTGCTAATTCTCTTTTCTTTTTTTTAAACCCAAAATGACTCTACCTTCTGTCGCATTATTACATTTCTTTCTTTCAATTATTTAATTTCCTTTGAAACAAAATTTCTATAAATGTAATTATTGCTTTCTAAATCAATAACGTTTATGTTGAATTATAAATGAAAACTCAAGCGTAGAAATGACTAATGCTGTGTCAGCTTACTCTAGGGAGCTGATCATAACTAGGTGGGGTGTGGGTGTAGAATTAGGAACACAAGTTCATTACAGGAATTTCTCCAGGGTATTGAAGCTGAGAGAGAATGTAGCGTGTGTCAGCATACAGGAAATAGAACACTTTAGAGAATTGAATAAACAGACCTGAGAAACCATACATTTTGCCAGCACAAGCTTGTGGATTGAGACAAGGATAAAAAACAGGGGAGACACAACCCTGAACAAGATGAAGGAACTGCGGACCTTTAAAAGTGATGTGTGACCTGGGAATACTGACCAGTGACTGCAACAGGGATGTGGCACAGAGCCTTTAGAAGCACGTGTTGTTAGTAACTCAGAGGGACTATGACCTTTCCCAGAGACAGTCACCTCTGGGCTGCTCTGCTCCTCTCCAAGCAGAAGCAGCAATGCAGCTGTGAGGCTGTGCTGAGTCCCAGCCCTGGGAGAAGGAATGTGCCTCAAGGTTCTGCCATGTCACCAAACTAGGGACCAGGGACATGGAGACACCTGGGACACTGCTTCACCTTGCAGGTGATGTCCAAGCTGCCCAACGCCTCTCTCTGGGTCAGCAGAGCTGCTCCTGCTGAAGGTGGTGAAAAGCAAAGGTGACTGGCCTAGGGGCTGTACCTTGCCCCTACAGCCATGAATCTTCCATACTGCAAGCAGTTCATGTCTCTGCAGAGAGTAGAGACAACCACCTTCCTCTAAACTAGCCAAAGTATTTTTAACATGACTGAGCTGTGTGGACGTACTCACTGATTTTTCCGCCCGGATTCTGCATTTCCCATAAAAGAAAGAGGCCATATGCTCCAGATTTACTACCTACTGCTTGCTTCAAAACTGTGCTTCTGCAACCCACATTTATACAAAAAGGCACTTGAGGTGATGTAAATGTGAATCTAGTTCTTGTTAGTTTTTTTGTGGATTAGCTCCTCTCAAAAGCAGCTTTGCACCTCTATCATTTCTATTAGACCATTTGTCATGTAGTCATTCAGTGAAAAATCATTAAAGGTAAATGAGGTTGCCTCAGAAGGATTTGGATGAGCTATATACTGAATAGACAGTCACCACACATCCCATATGCATTAGAACTTAACAAAATAACATTAATTGCTAAGCAGCAATAATGAAGATAGTCTATGAAAATTGAGGAATATGCTGTAACACTGAACTGAAAAACAGCTGGGACCTAGTCTTTCAACAAAGCCAGTCTTTCTCTTCTCCACCCAGCAACCAGAATCTATAGATATGCTTTACACTGGACCTGTGTAAATTTTATTATTGCAGTGCCTTCTCATCCTCTGGTGACCTATTTGGGCAAGATGCAAGACAAATATGACCTGCTGCAAAAGGCTGAGTCTAAAAACAAGGAGCAACAGAACAGCAAAGTATATATTCTTAAAATAGCAAGGAAAATAAGACACCTGTGGCATAAGTCTCCTTTCAACCCCTTTGTTCATTGGTTTCCTTCATGGAGAAGTAGCTAGGAAAGTACTAGATAGGAGAAATTAAATTGTGAAAGTACTTTCTAAAGAAAGCTTTGCTGTCAACACCAGTAAAAGGGAAAGGAACTATGTGAAATCTATAAAGCAATTCAGATTCTGCTCCCTAAACAAAACCAGGAATGTTCCTGTGTTGCAGGCCCTGGACTGAAAAGCAATAGAGCAAGCTGTGTGTACAGTGCAATTGTAAAGTGTCATGCAATAACATTAAATCCTTCTTGTGACTTAAAATTTGTGAGCTAGAAACAAATTAAACTTAGGAACAATGTAAGTATTTACATTTATTCAGATTACCAAAAGCACCTGACTCAAGTTCAGTCTTTGGGTTTCTTCTGATTATGAAAGATGTAGAGAGTTCAATGACTGAAGTTTTGTTAAGTCAGACTCTCACAGAGTTGTTTGGAGCAGCTCCTCATTCCTGTTGGGCTATACAAGGAGAAGCTGACTATCCAACCAAGGAATCTGGTGCCGTATGCAGAGTATACTTCTGAGGCTTGAGATTATGTCATCTCATTTTTCTTACGTCCCGGAACACTGGGTCCCTAATCATGACTGACATTAATATGGTACAAAGAAGAAATCATAGTAATTCTAAAAGCAGCACTTAGGTTTCAATTTTCCTAACCATACTGGCCAGATGGCTGTTTTAAAAGAAAGTGAGGGCAGATATTTAAAGACTGACTTCATCCACTCCATTGCACTCTAGCTCTTTCTTTTACAGCATTTTAACAGAATTAAAATGACGTTTACATTACAGTTATTTTACTGAATAATATATTTGGGGCTGATAAATTAAAACTCAGTAGTTTCAACTAATGTTCAGTCTCCCTGGATGATAACTATTTAGTATACCTGCAGAATCTGTAAATTCCCTCATGCCCTTTCTATTTTGTACAGAGAAACACATTGTTTAACATAATCCTTTGTTCCTTAACTTTCATTTTATTTTATACTGCAGAAAACTTTTGTGCTCCAGACTGCAAACTTGGTCTGGAATTTTTTTTCTGGGCTTTCACTGCTCTCTGTGCAGTAGGTATGTGTTGTGCATCACCACATCCAATGTTTCCTTCCATCCCATTAGGCTGACTCTGCTCTCCTCTGACACCAATCAAGTACTGAATTTCCCAAAGACCCTTGCTGTGGTTTTATTTTATTCCATCAGTCCGTTTTTCTATCTTATCCCGTCTCATTTGCTGTTTCTGTCCCTGCAGACAGCTGACTTGGTAGAAGTTCCGGAGGAAGCCAATAGCTCTGCAGGCACCCTTGACATAAGCAGAAAACGCAGCAACAGTGGTGAGTGCCCCCAGGCCAGGACAGCACCTTCAGGTGTAAAGCCCATGTGCAGCCTGTTTCAGGTGGGGGGTTATGGCATGTCCAGGTTCAGCAGTGTTCTGGTTTTCAGAGCAGGAGGTGAGTTGGTACAAGGACTTGAGGAACGCTTTTTGCTATTCAGATGAAATTGAAGCCACCACTTTCCTCAATGTGGTGTGTCCAAAACTGCCACTGGACAAGGTTCAGGTCCATTGCCTATCTCATATCTTTACTTCATAATCATGACTGTAGACTTAACATGCTTCACTTCCACACTGGCAAAACAGAACCAAAAAAATACTTTCTTTTCCGTATGTTTGATTTTTCTGCATGATTTTGTATATCACAACCTCTTTGGGACAGAAAACGAATCATAAAAGATCTTCACATCTGTAAAATACAGAATGCAGTGAATTTTGATTATAATTGCAGCTGCTCAGTACAACTGCAGTATGTGCTCAGAAATATTAATGGCCCAATTCCTTCATTTGATTTGCAGTACAAAAGTAACGTTTTTTTACATCATTGGCTTGATGAGATTTGAAAAGCAGCATAGCATCAAAAGTTTTGTAATGAAATCTCATCCACCAAGAGTTGGTGTTTGTGACCCTGTTCTTGAATTCAGTCATGGTGGTGGAAGTCATAAGCAAAAAGAGTTATTGTTCAGCACAATTTCAGGCTCAAACCATCAGGACAACTTCTCTAGCAGCATCTGAAATCTCCTTTGCTGAATCTCACAAGATGTACAGAACAGAAACAAACCACAATGAGCATAACTTTTTTTCTTTATGGTACCCCCAGTGCTCCTTACATACTACTACCAATTCATGTAGGTAAAAGGCCAGCTTCAGCTCTCTGTTTCTATATTACACCACCTCCTTATTCCTTTCCTCCCCTCTTGATCCTATCACCTCTCCTCACTGTGTTGTCATTTCCTTCCTCTTGTTTTGTGAACATCTCATCCATATTATCTGATTTCTCCTAAAAATTTTAAATTTTCTGTCTTGCAAGGGCAAGTTGACCTGACCTGGTTAGAGAATTTAGTCTGCACCACATTGTTTAATCCTGCCCACCTGAGATTAAATCAACCCTGTTTGAATGTTCAGATTACTTTTTATTCCTTTGCAAGTCAATACTTTCATTTCTGAAACCTAGAGAAACTTTTTTTTTTCTTTGAGATAGTATTCACTGAATGCACAGAAAAGCATTCAAGGAACATACTTAAAGAGATTAGTTTAAAAACTCAGCATGTGTCAAACCTCCAAATAACTTCCACGACACATTAACAATTCTTTTGATCAGCACTGGCTTTTTTACAATCCATCCTTTAGAGGCTCAGAGTATAAATTATGCATCAGTCATTCCAAAAATTTCCTCTTGGTAGAGTTTTAATAAACTGCCTGCACTGTTTCCACAAGCTATGGAAATGGTAAAATCCTTTTCAGAGTGCAAAAATCCCTGAGTTTTTTTCCTTTTTTTTTTTTTTATTTTTTTTCTTTTGTCTGCTGATGCTAGGGCAAACAAATATGAAAATAGATGTATTTCTGTTGGGTGGAGATATGAGCAACATACCTCTATGGCCTTCAGATTCAAGTGCCTCCTATTAACATCCAGAGACCACGAATTAAACATAGATTAAAAATTTAAGTACATTCAAAATGGTTTTATGAAGTGACTCATGACTCCTTTTTCCTCAGTTGTCCACTGCCTCTTTATCAGGAAAATGGACTCAGGTCCATTCTGGTTGAGTTTGTGTTGTTTGGTTTTTTTCCTATTAAAATACCATTCTGTAAATAAGTATTTAGGAAAATGTACATTTGATGCTCTTTGATAAAGGGAAACAGCAGAAAAGACAGCCTCCAGAAGGGTAAAAGGGCCCAACACCTGCGTGGTCATGTAATTTTCCTTGTAGAACTCCTATGACAACAACTTCAAGGGGAGATTCTTTCATTCAGGCCCTGGCATAAATCCTATGAAGCAAAGCTCCCCAGTTTACAACTGTGAGATGGCATACCTAATTTCCAGCTCTTCAGCCTCCTCCAAATCAGTTACACTCTTTCACTGCTGTGAACTGCTATCTGTAACAGAAGTCCCAAAAGCCAAACTGTACTTTAAGTGACATTTATGAGCCTGTTATCAACAGTGATTTGAGTATTTTCCCCTTGAATCAAATATGGGATGTCCTCCCTGCAAAGTCAGTTTTGGTGAGCACTTCTCAGCCATCAAAAGGATACAGTTCAGCTCCCTCCCCATGTGCTGGGTCAGCTCCACAGTCCATGAGGCTGTGCTTTAGTAACTTGCTTTATTTTCTGTCACCAAACAGGAATTACTTCAAACATGATGCTGAAATACTTTTACTTCATCTGGTAAATGACATTATGCAAGTCCAAAAGGCTCTAGGTTACCCAACTCAGTATTCACCAGAACATCTTCAATTTGCCTTCTAACCCCTGTTCTTCTGAATATGAAAAACAAAGCATAGTGATTTTAATAGGACTTAAACTCTCAAACTGTAATAGCAGCACTTTAAACCCCTTTCTACAGATGCCAGACATATATATATATCCCCCTATATTAATGATACAGGAAATTAGGTTTATTTCTAAGGTTTTCCTTCTGATACCTGTGATGGTCTGCAGGGTCAGAGTCCCTTTGCAACAGGACTTGTTGAGGAGCATATTGAGGCCCCAGGTCTGCTGCAGTCAGGACAGCCTGACACAACTTGTGGCATTTTCATGTTAAGTGTGGCAGGTATCATCTCTCATGCTCCTTTCACATTCACAGATTGAACTTTATGACTGCAGCATTGTCTTACATTTTGTCAGAGAAATGTGTGCTTATAAATGCCTGTCACCTTGCACAATATCTTTCTTGTACATGTTGTGGCTGCCGTTTCTCTTGTCTTTTATCTGTTACAAGAAAACTGTCATGCTTTTCAATATCCAAGTACAACTCTCTGCTATCAAACAACCTTACTATTTCCCTCATAAAGCTTCTCCAATTCTCAACCTGTTAGGCTGTCAACTACCATGTAAACTAGTCCCAGAAATATGTGTTAGTGAAGGAAAGGATGGGCAAGCGAAGGAATGGAGGTGGTCCTGTTAAGGTGAAGAGTCTTAAACTACTCCTAAAATGTCATGTGTTTTATTTATTTCAGTGTTTACATACTCTGAAAACGGCACAGAACACTTTGGAGAAGAACCAAAAAGTATACATTCCCCGGTATGAACATAGATTTTGTGATGATGCAATGGTAATGGGAAGTCATGTAAAACTTTTGTTTTTATGGCTGTATGACCTTGACTAGGTCTGATGGGTCACGGATTTCTGACTGTCCTGTTCTTACACCATTTCTGGGCCTCTGGCCATGACTGGAAGCAATATACATTCCTGAATGGTTTTTTGGTTTTTCCTTTGTCATCACTTTGTTTTTCTGCTTATTGCAAATTGATTTGGGAATACAAAAGATCCAGTGTGCAGTCCATGTAATTACAATAGAACTGCCATAATGTAAAAATCACAGTTTGATTTTGAAAATTATTAAATGATTGTTCTAGCTGCTTTTTCCCCTCAGAATAACAGTGGAAAAAGCAAGAAGAGAGAATAGCCAGTCTTCTCTGTTGAAAACCCAATACAAAAACCTTTCACACATTAAAATCACTTTTAAAAAGTGATTTTCCTGCTCTGAATTTGGACCTGTGCACTGTACAATTCTATCTCCATCCATAATGAGGACTCTAGACTAGACACATTATATAATGCCAGTAATATACTACTGGGCTCCTAAGAGCTATCATATATACTACAGAGAGAAAAAATGCACATTCATTTTTAAGATTTGTCCCAAAGATCAGCCAGTGCGAATTTCTGCTTGTATTCTTTGGAAGCCTGGAATTTGATCTTGGAGTTCAAACAATCTTCTTTCTAAATTAAGATAGTTACTGCCTTAATGGCCTGCAATGTACCTGGGCCATAGTCCTCCAAGCCATGAGAACAGAGAGATGATTCTGGCTAATTTATTGTAATACCAGGTTCTGTTTCCTCTGTCTGTAACAAAGCAAACCAAATTTCTTTACAGAGCAGATCTTTAAATTTTCTCTTTCTCTTTTTTTTTTAAGGGATCATTTTATAAAAGCACGTTACAAATGAACACCTATGTTGCCTTGTACAAATTTGTACCACAAGAAAATGAAGACTTGGAGATGAGGTAAATTCCAAAATATTTGTTAGTTGATTTGACACATTTGCACTGATGGTCATATGGTCATATGTGACTTTGGGGAAGGGAGAGTTTCTTCTGACATTTTTAACAGACATTTTTATAGAGGCAACCATCTAGATACAAAGACATTCTCACAGTTAAAAAGAGTAGATGGTCAATTATTTTGGCAAGGATACATAGACTAAAAGTTTCAAAAATACTTATATCACTTTAGGAGCAAGAAGGCTTTCAGCTATAAAATGTTCTTAGTTGCTTTGTTTTTCAGTCAGAAGTTTTCAGCTAGGAATTCTCCACCAGATCTCATGCTAATGCTAAAAATTTTACCAGTCCTGTTTGATCCTCTCTCTTACTCAGTCATGTCTGAAAAAAGAGAATGGTGTCCAGCTGCTGGATGGCAGTGTTTTCACATGAGAACTTTGAAAAATAACCTTGTTAATTGCTATTTTTAGCACTTATTTCCTCTGCATCAGTTGCTTGCATTACAAGGCTTAATCCAAGCCCACAGAAGGAAAAGGACAATTTTTCTTTTATTGAAATTATTTTGTTCATGTTACTCACATTTTGCATGAGTCTTGCTAGAGATCTTACTGTGAAACATGTCACCTGTCTTCAAGGTATCCCTATACCAAAATAATCATGCATGTGCCACAGAATTTAAGGAATTGACAGAGAAATGCCCCTCTCCTCAGCACCTCAACACTGAAAGCCTTTTTCCTGTTCCCAGTTGTGCCTTCTCACTGCTCTGGAACTAAAAGGCAGGATGTAATGGAGAAATTACAAGTTTTCCTATCATTCTGCTTTACTGGAATTTCCTGATCATTATTTTAGGAATGTCAGCTCTTCAGAAAATAACCTCAGTATATGAGAACCTTTAGTGAAACTTGCCAGCTATTCTGCTTGAAACATTCCCCTTTGCATCCTGCTCTTGAGGAGTCTATGCCATCTTATGCCTTCTTTCTATGACATAGAACATCTCTCAGACAAGCCTGCACTGGACTACCATCCTCATCCAATCACAGAAATCCAGAAAATACATCAACCTTCAAAATCCTCCTGTTCCACATTTTAGAGGGAAAACCAGCCTGTGGTCTGAAATGTGCTCTTTCAGGGGACACCAGGCTCTTTCCAGGGATACCAGATAGGATTTAGACTATTGGTACTCAACCACAGCAGTGCTGTTTGTCCCTCTGTCAGAAATTCAGTAATATATGTGTTAACATTGTTCCATAAGGAATGCCCAGTAGTTGGAAATGCTGTTTTGTTGCTGCAAAGCCAGGCAGGATCCAACTCAGTTGCATGAATTCCCATTTAGCATAGTGAGGGGCTGGAGGTGGGTTGGGCAGAGCTATGTTGTCAAGACTGACAAGCACTGTCCTGGTAACTCGAGTTAGGAACCAGCCAGGCACTGCTCAGCTCCATCACAACAAAGGAAAATAGCGGGGGAAGAACTGAGAGGAAGAGTTAGGGCAGATTTCTGGAGTTCACAGCTCATCTCTGAGAGGATACAGTGAGGGGCAGATTACTGCAGTGAAGATGTGTAGCCCTGACTTCAGCTGAAATTAGAAGTTATTACAGCCTGAATTTCTTCCCTAACAGCAAGAGCAGTCAGTCAGATTTTCCAGTGCTCTGGCATAAGTAAAATAGTAATACATTGCAGTAATACTCTTATTCTAAGAGATAGCCTTACATTACAAGAGTGAATCCTGAAAACAAGCAACCCCATGTTCCAGGCACTGCAGAGAATGGAATGGGATGGAATGGAATGGAATGGGAGTGGGAATAGGAATAGGAATAGGAATAGGAATAGGAATAGGAATAGGAATAGAAATAAAGAATAGAATAGAATAGAATAGAATAGAATAGAATAGAATAGAATAGAATAGAATAGAATAGGAGAATAGAATATAGAATAGTTGGAAGGGACCTACACAAATGCCTATCTTGCCACCTCCTGAAATCCATATCACTGAAGTAGAGCAGACAATTTATCCAGGGTTGTAATTTACATAAAAAAATGAGACCTGACTTATTCCAACCAGTAGTAAGAACCAAGCGGGTTGCCCCCTATCAGAAATTAGCAGCCTAAATGTAGGATGCAAGAATAACAGGTCCAGATGGGATTTCTATTTTGAATCCTATTTGGAGATTAAATACATCCATAATAGCTCTCTTCTAGGGAAAAAAACAAATTAACAAAATCAGCAGGCCTTCAACCTAAAACTCTCTGAGCTCAGATAAGTGATAAAGGAGAGACTTTAGGTTCAATTGCCATCTTTCTCTGACAGCCAAACAAATTTATATTTTCTGGGTTATTTTTCTAACAATGGCTGAAGACTACTGGGTTGACAAGGCCCTCTAAATCCTTCTTGTTGAAAGTGTTTTTCCTTTCAGTGTAAGGGCTCCAGTGGTGTTGGCCCCAGACTATTCTCTTTGAAGTTATGGGTTCTGTTAAAAACCCTTTGAGTATTTAATATAAAATATTAACTGTAGTAAAGGACTCAGATACACTTTCCCATTGAAAAAAATCTTTTACCACTGGGATACCAAGTTATCCATTTTGTCTGGCTTCCTTCCTCACCTCAGCAACATTTAATTATTCCAAACATATTGAAACAGGTTCTTGAGGAGGGCTTGAGGAAAATTCTGTTTTGGATTGCACAGCATTAGAAGACTAAATGCCTGTTTCTCCAGTTGTCAGCAGCAATGATAACCAATTGGGAAGTGGACCAAAGAGGCCCACCACTGACCACACCTCCAGCTGCATCCTGGACAGGTCCACATTTCCTATGCTGGTTCTGAAGGCACCTGTTAAATTGGACCTGTTATCCATCATAAGAGATGCTCCAGATGTGTTTGCAGGCTCTTGTGCTGATACCTCAACAACACAGTGAGCCTAACAGGGAAAGCTGAATAATGAGGGGTCAACAATTAATTTTATTAAGATCAAGAAATGTCTCTAATCCAGTAAACAGAACTTTCTGGAGTTAATCCCTTTGGAAAGGTCTCCCACTTACTTTCTACAACATACCACTATTATAATCATGTAGGAATGTTGATTAAGTGTCACCAATGTGGGGGGTAAGGTCAAATAGCTGTTCAACTACCTTCACAAATTCAGCTTAGCAAATTTTGCTATTAGTGTTTCCAGACAAATTATTTTCCTAGCTCTGCTTTGGAACTAGTCAGTTGGATGCTGATACTTAGCAATTACAACTCAGCACCACATGTTATAAAGGTAAATATGTCCCATTCAAATCAAAAAGACATTCTTGGGCAGAATTAAATCCCTGCTGACTAATTGCCTTTGTCAGTAAAATAGGACTATTTTCCTGCTGCCTTCCTTCTGCAATCACAGCTTGAAAACACAGATGATGAATTAGTGTGTCCCAACAGTGTGAAATGTCTTAAAGTAAAGCGATAATGCATTTAACAAAGGCGGACTGTATTTTACACAGCTCCTTAATAAACAGGAAGCAAAACTTCCAGTTCACAAACATTGTCTGAAAATAAAGATCTAGCCCCAAGATACAGACACTCTTCCTACATTAACATGTGTGACTGAAGAAAACCTGGCCACTTTATTGAGTCTATCTTCAGTGAATGCTCAGAAAAAATAATCATAGAAGGACCACCTTCCTATTAGAAGGGAATTGTGGAAGCTGATTCAACATGACAATTAGTCATCTTACATACTATTTCTCTTCTAATCACAGGCCAGGGGATATGATCACCCTTCTGGAAGACTCTAATGAAGACTGGTGGAAGGTATGTGCTAGTTTATATCTGTTTTCTTTACAAAAGGAAAAAAAATCTTGTTTTCAATACTGAATTCATATTAAAGCTGCTACTTAAAGTTAACAATCTTCTACTATCAATATATTTCTTTCATAGGGGAGAATTGATGACAGAACTGGATATTTTCCTGCTAACTTTGTTCAGAGAGTGCAACAAAATGAGAAGATTTACAGGTGTATCAGGACATTCATTGGCTGCAAGGAACAGGGACAGATAACTCTGAAAGAGAACCAGGTAATATCCTCTGTGCTGAACCCTCACTGGACTAGAGCATCCAGCAGTGTTACCAATGACTGACAGGAAAATCTTGCAAGATGAGGACAGGCAGATTTTTTTCACTTCAATTTTACAAGATTTATTATTTGAATGGTAACAGTGTCTAGTAGCCAGTTAAGAGCAGTGTTTGTCTTGTGCAAACACATACTCGATGCCTAACACAGCCTGAATTTTCAGTCTCACAGACATTCATAGTGATGCTTTACATATTTCTCACCCTCTTACTGATGTCAGAGTGATGAGCACAGAGTCTTAGAAGTAGACTTTGTGTACCTGAAAAATTATCTGATTTTCTCTTCCCCATTAGAACTAATCTAATAAATGATTAGTTCTCCACAGACCTTAACTCACCTAAAGATCTAAACACAGCCCATTGTCTTTGCTTCAACAGGAACAGAGTTAAGACAGCATCACACAAAGCTGTAAATCCTAAATGTAACACTTCTTCACCAGTTGCAAGGTATATTTAATCCCTATTTTTTTTTGAGTCACCACTTAAATACCCTTTCTACAGGCTGTAATACATTTTAAGCTATAAGTGCTTCTGCAAGCTTAAGTACACTCCATACAGTGAGGATTTACAGGGTCCATTCACCCTGGTGCATTTTCAGCATCTCCTTCTACTTTGTGTCCTTCAGGTGGGTTCACTAGGCACACACCATGACTCAAAACCTGCATTAAGGGACAGGTTTGTGACATAAACTCATGTAAACAGGAGGATGACATACTAAGGGTGATACACAGCTGGAGTTCTCTGATACTTAGATGCAATAGAAAGGTAGATTTTTCTCACCGCACCTTGTGAAGCCCAATGCTCTTCTGCTTCATTAGGTCTTTTCTTTCCTATGGCGACTGTGTCACATCAGAAATGTTTTGCCCTACAGCCTGAACAGCCACTGATTTTAAAAAGGCGGAGAATAAGTCAGAACCAGTCTGGATTTCAGGGCCATAGATTTTTCTGTGCAGAACTTCTTTAACATTTCCTTCCACTGGTGGATAAGATTAACTTACAGCTCGGTTGATGATGATTTGCAACACAGCAAAACATACAAGTGCTAACAATCCTTGGGTGCACACAGCTTTCTAAGGAAGGCACAGAGATACCGTGGCCAGAATATATTTTAACTACCTTGGGCAGTTCTGCAGTTTCTAGAAAGAAAGTTCTTACATTCTTTTTACCCATATCTTAATTTTTTCTGTCTGTGCACACAGACAAAAGAAATATTACTAGAGCAGAACAAGAACTTTTGGAGGCTTTGTGTTCTAAAATAAGCAATACACAAGGGCAAAGGCAGGAAATGGTTGTGTTGGAACATGTCATGTCAGCATGAGGGAATGGTCAAGATTTGCACCACTTCTCATTAGTGGGCGTACCAGATCACCTCTGTCAGCACGGCTACTGCTGCAAGCACTGAGAGCCCAGTTGCTTGCCTCAGTCCTCACAAAACCACAGTTTCCAAGTGGGCAGCTCTTGCAGCTTCATCTAAACACAACAACCTTCATATTGTCCCTATTTCATCATAGCATCATAAAGGGAGCTGAGAGTCAGAGGTGTCTCATCGTCTCTGGCAAGGCAGGAGGTAAAGGGATGAATCTATCCTGTCTCTGTACTACCTCCTTTTTTTTTAGAAAACCTTTTCAGCTCTATCTCAAACCCACACAAATGCTGAGGCTGAATATGAATGCTGTTGGGTGCTCGCTCCACGTGGGAGAGGCTCCAGAGGAAGAAAGAAATAAATATTTGTTGTGAAACAGGGGGCAGAGATCAGGCTGCACAAACACATGAATGCAGAGACATGAGAGGAAAGGAGCACAGCAAACATATCCTGCTCCACTCTCACACAAATTATGCAAAAGGGAGACATTTAAGTAGCTTGAAGGCCATTTTGGGTAATTTCCAGGTGGGACAGCCACAGTGAGGTCATGGACACTCATCTGCTTCCCTCTGTTGCTCCATACAGAGAACAATTTTCTGTATTTTTTTAACAGAATAACAACTCTGCCTTCACTGTGGAAAAACTATTACAGTGAAAAACATTTTAATTGTTATTGGGAATTTTTTACTTTAAAAGTTTATTTTGTATTTCCAAAGTCAAATTTCTTCTTTCTTCAACCATTTGTTTTCTGTTTTTATTTCTCCATTGTTTTCCATGTGAAGCAAAGAGAGAGAGATGCAATAGGGGAAGGCATGAAGGAAAAAAAGTCATCTGAATGGAACTTGTGGGGAAAACTTTGGGAGAATTTATTTGTTTGTCTTTTGTTCTATTGGGAATTTCTGTGGGGTGTCATCAGCCATGTTACCTGTCTGTGGGCACAGTGTGCAGAGCGCTGTGACTGCAATAGATGTACAGTGTGCAAAGCACTGGCTTACCAAGTAAGGGAGATTATTCATCACTACTAATCCCTGTCAAGTCTCACTTTAGCTAGAAAAACTAATTAACTGGTCTAATAAATTCCTGAGACTATAGTATGGAAAAGTTACTTCACTGAGTCACTTTCCATGTGGTCTAACAAGAGTACAGAACCATTCTGACAACAAAGGCAAGGATGATATATTAACAGAAAAACTTATCAAGTGACAATAATATGAATTTTATTTACATTGCTTGATACTTTCAATGATTTATCCTTCAGGTCTCTGTCCCCTCATGCCCTACATGAATTTTGCTGAGTAGAAAGTCTACTCTTGTAAGGCAAAATAAATTCATATCAACAATGTCATGTGGCTACCCTAAGAAAAGCCATTTTAGGCAAACAGAGATTTTTCAAAGTTTGAGGCACAGTGAGTAAGACTTCTTCTGGAATCATTTGGCAGTTTCATGCCTCGGAAATAACATTTAGAGTTTCAGCTTCATGCAAACCTCTATGGGAAAGCCAATATTCAGGGAGAAGACTGAAGAATAACCACACAATTTGTTCACCCATCTTGAGCAATATGCACAAACTAGTCTTCACAAGGATCCCTTGAAAATTTCACTATGCAATATGAAACCCAGGCTGGAGGAGAAAAAATGTACTGCTTCAGAGATGCCGACATCTTGGTGTTTAGGGTTCACTGACAGATTTTTGAGTCTTAAAGCCACTTCAGAAGATGACTGGGCACCACGGGGCTCAGTCAGAGATCTGTAGGAGATAGGCAGGCATAGCCCCTGACATCAGTAAAGCAAGATTATCCATAAGGAAACCAAACCTGGCCAATTTCAGTGGCTTCCCACACTTGTAAGCTGCTCTCACAAACAATATGAACTGCATAATTTCCAACTCTGATTGACTGTTCCATCACTTTATATATAAAATTTTCTCCAGTCTGTAACTTCTGCCCTAGGCTACCCAAATTCATTACCAAACATTATACAAATACTTCTTTGCATGACAACAGGCTCTGATTTTACCTCTATTCACAAAATAAAAAACAATTTCAATATCTAATTGAAATATCATCAATATTTGGAAAAACATCTCTTAAAATGTCTTTAAGATATTAGATCATCCTTATTTTTAAAGAAGTCAAAATAATCTGCTGTTTGAATGTCTGCTTTTACTTTGAAAAAGATCCTACTCACACCCTTGCCTGGCTGCCTCTGACACCTACAGTCACACTAATACAAATTACTTTAGAACTGGGCTTTTTTGTAATTAAATACCACAATTGATTTTAAATTGCACAAGTGATCTTGGGCAACAGAAATTATCCCAAACCAAGACATTTGTAACAAACTGGGGATCAGAAGCTCTTTGCCTCATCTAGAGTGCACTGTGAGTTTATACACAAGTCAGTGCAACAGACACATTTCCTGTTGGGTGTTTTTCAAATGTCATATATCCACAAGGCTAGGCTTAATAAGGCAGGCTTGGAGGACAGGTCTACAGACCCAGGAAATCCACCTCTCTGACGTCTTCTGATTAGCCTGGAGGCTGTATTGCTACCTGGTTTTCACCTCATTTCTTTGAAGTTACTTTATGCCCCCATATTTTTAGGATGCTGTAAATGAAGCTGAGCTTCTAAGAGCATGACTCAGCTGCCTTTGGAAATCAGTTTCATCACAGTGACTTATGCATTCAAATTAAATCACTTCAAAGGCAAACTCATCACTGAAAGTGATGTTACAGTTCCTCATGTGCTCCCCAGCTCTAAGTGATGCACTTCACAGCTAGGCTGAAAGGGAACAGGGTCGCTTTCCAGCTCTCTCTGATTTCCATTGACGTCAGCCTTGCTGAAAAGGGATGGGTGTCCCCATTCATTCAGGCGTGCTGAGTGGCACAAAAGATTTTCCAGAGTCCAAAACAAGGGCACAGGTCATTATGCATCCAATCTAGTCCAGGTCTTCTTTAAAACCCTAAGTGATACAGGTAAAACAAGACAGTGATCTCAGTCGAAAAGTTAGTGAAACAACTGACATAAGCCCTTCATCATCATTTGCACTACACCTGTATGGGTATGGAAACTGAACTGCTTAGCATTTCCATCCACAAGGTTCACATAGGCAAGGACCTCAGTGCACTGGCAGCAGCAGATGTAGAATCTCACAGTATCCCTGTGCTGTCATTCTTGCAAACACAAGGCTTGAACTTGCAGACCTCTTGACCTGGAACTCTCTGTGGGCTCCCAGACAGCTCTTGAAACAGTACTGCCCCCATAACCAAAGTCCTACTTCATCAGAACCAGTCTGTGGCTGTCAGATGGGTTAATTATGTGGAAGAAAGAAGAGAAGACAGCTGCAAAAAGTTACAGGAAGTTCAAAATTACTCCCAAAGAGAACTGGCCATTTAAGCCCAAATTCAAAGCACAGGATTTAGAAGAACAGGAAAGACCATGCAGGTCAAAGGACAATTTCCTAATTGCTCATCTCCCCCACCTGCTCAGGGCTGACTGACAGATAAAAAATTCTCAGGGCAGACATTGACAAGTTCAGACAACAGTCACAATCTGAATGTTTGAGTTTTTTAGTGTTTTGACTATTTTTTAAAGAAAATGAGATGAAAGAATGGGGAAGTAACTTTATAATGATAGATCCTACTTTCAGATAATTCTGAAGACAACTTGTTGAGTGAGAAATAGCCTGAGATGTGGTTTCTTGCCCTGTGGCTTCCTCACTACTAATCTCTTGAGCCAGAGTGCAGGGGGAAAATCTAACTGTCCCCCTTTGCATTCCTACCAAATTCACTGGAGAGTGGTTTCTCTGGCTCACTTTTCTAGTCAGACCAGCAGCCTGCCACCCAAAACATCCCAGACTGAGTAGCTAACACTTTAAACAGTTTCCAACTTTATCCAGAAAACCACCATGACCATCTGTCGGTCCCTGTGGCTCCTCATGCCTTCACAACCATAATCTTTGCCATCTCTCATCAGGGCTAATCCTCAACATCACCTGATTCATTGGGTGAAATCCAAAACTCTGGATGCTACCATGTCCTCATCTGGGATTACTCTGAAATTACACCCATGCAAGAAAATGAAGAGCTGAATCTCCTGGCTACAACTTGTGGGTGAAATTCTTGGCAACATAAATAAAAGGAGATGAGAGCAAAAGTGGAAATAGATGAGAGCAAAAGTGGCCGGTGTTTTATTCAGTCTTCTCTGAAAACTGCAGAATTTGAAGCAGCTCCAGGGTTTTGCAAAGTTCCAGCAGCTGTCACAGATCCAGGAGACCTCCTGAGTCACACAGGATTATCAAAGTGTGGCATATTGTGGCCAAGCTTACTCTGTTCCTGAACCCTACCCTTCCTTGGAAGTTAGTGGGAAAGAACTCTGCCATCTGGGGTGTGGCACATGCAAGGCTTAGTGTCTTAGTATGAGAGAATTTCAGCTGGAATTTGGGAGAATTCAGATCTATGTATTGGTAGAGTGAGAGTTCTCACATTAGGCATTGTACTCCTCATGCCCAGAGAAGATCTAAAGTTATTGCTGTAGCAGAGCACTCTCACTGTTATCAAGGAGCACTCAAAAGAACAACAGGAAAAATAATACCCCACACCACTGAAAAAAGAAGAAATCTGCCATATTTTTCAAACAAAAACAAAGAAAAACAGTGCTCAGAAAACTCGGTATTTTTCTTTTGTCCACAAATCATTCTGCTGACAATACAAGACAACAGGGAAAACCACTCTGTTCTTCCAATATGTTCTGCACAGCACTGGAGGATTCAAGGAAAAAAATGCATCAGGGTTAGTGAGAAATGTAGACCTGCTGGATACGTGATTATTTTAGGTGTCCTATCAAAAAGCTAGATGTCTTTCAGACGTCTTCAGTCTTCATCATCTTCAGGAGAAGAACACAATGATGTAGTGAATCACACCTTTTAACCAACTAGTTATGGAAAGCTGCAAAGGCTCATGGCAGTAGGGATCAGCTGAGAAGGGGAACATTTCAGCTAATGCTATTTCCTAGACTTGGATAGTCTTCCATACTTGGCCACCCTTAGTCCTGGCTTCCTTGTAAGCTTTTTCTCTCATCATTTCTTTCTCAGAGACCGACATGTAGCAGTAGTTAGAAACACCTTTCTCTGTCCACATGCTTTGCACCTCTCTGTTTTGAACGGTGATATGACAGTGGAGGAAGCAGATGCTGCGCTGGGGATTCATGACATAAATGAGCTTGGCTGTTTTTCAACAGAACCTAAACCAGACAGCATCAATTCTAGACCTCTCCCACGCTTTCCATGTGATTTAGCCCAAACAATAATACATTATTCTTTCTAATTGCATGTCAGCCCTGTTGGTGTGCTCAGCCATTCTGCCCCGGGGATCCAATTCAGTTAGTGTTGAGTAGGCAGGATAAGTAAGAAAATTAATGAGTCCATTTACTTTCCAAGATTTTGTTTGCAGGTACAGTGCACCACCCTATTTCCAAATACTAGAGATGGTAAATATTAAGCAGCTTCACCTCCTTCTCATAACCTTTCATTTCCTTCTGGCAGCATCAGTGCTGCTAATAAATTTTATGTATGCAACAGCAGGACAAGCTGGCCTGGAATTAAGAAGTGGTATTTAGGTGTCACCCATAATAGTCATGCTGAAATGGATTTATTCAGGAACACTTTAGAGCTATTTTTGTTCATTTCATATCCTCTGAATTATTGTAAATAAACATTGTAAATACTTATCAGACAGAGATGAGTGTTAGTCCAGATAGAGGGCTGGCACTGACATCATGAGAAATCAGTCCATGGAGTGGTCTCAATAGGACCGTCAGTTTTCCAGCCATATTTTAACATTGTTTGACTAGTAGGAAATATATAGTTCTTTGGCACAGACTTTTGAAAACAAAAGTCTTTATTTGGTGTGGTGCTGTGCCCAGTCTAAAGTGCCTGTGCTACTAGGCTTTCAAATGGTTCAGCCTTTTCCAGATGTTTCAAGAAGATGATTCCTTAAGAAGATGTTTCCTTAAAGTGGAAATGCCTGAAACACAAAGGTCAGGAGGAAATGAAAACCTTTACCACAATCTAATGTTTGTGCTATTATAAAGACCACATGATTTCATGACTGCTTCCTTATGGAGTAGGTGTTATGGAAACACTTTCAGAGAGCTGGATTCGGGTCACACATTTTGGTATCCGAAACAGACATCTGCAGGTGCGAGGGCTGAGTAAATAACATAATCCACTGCCTGTCTCAGAAGTACCAAGGCTCCTTAACAAGCAAAAGAGAATATGCTTGCATTAGGGTCAGCTGCTACAAGTGACTCACAATTATTTTTCATCACCAGGCAAAGAGGGAGTCAGATAGCTTGTGATCTGAAATACCCATTTGTCTCATGCAGAGACAGCTACACTGATCATTACAGAATGCTGAAGTCAAAACTCAAGTTTCAGAATCTTTTATCCACCACGGAGTTCTTAATAATTTTGATATCTCTCATGCTTATGTGGCGCTTCAGGGAGATGGGGGAAAGGTAACTCTCTAAATGTGTGAGTTTGAGATTCTTATCAAAGCAGTGGGAGTCCAACAGGGATTGTTCTACTTATGGAATTAACCAGCAGGATGTCTAACCTGCCTGATAAATACCCTGGCATAATTTGTCTCTTTGATCACGGCAAAAAGTTTAACATTTTCATACCTTTTTTGTGTTCAGATTTGTGTGACTTCTGAAAAGGAACACGATGGCTTTATCAAGGTATACAGCGGGAAGAAGAAAGGCTTTGTCCCCACAGATGTCTTAGAAAACATCTGATTCCAACAGCCCACTCACTGCAGTGGGAGCCCTTTGTTGGCAATGCCTGTCTGCCTCATCTCACACTGTGTCAACCCAGATGGGCTGTCTTGCAGATGTTCAGGGAAATAGTGAGAAAACTGCAACAACATGAAGAAAAAGACATTTAGACTGCCACAGCAACATAAAAAATATGAAAAGTTGAATGTTTGAAAGAAAATGTAGTCAGAAACCACCAGGGAAATGAGAGGTCCTCGGATTTGAACAGGAATAAGGTAAGGGAGGGAGAAAAACAAAGCCTGGGCCGATTTCGGGTGTAAGATGGCTGCTACAGCCCTGATGGAGACAGACAGCTTGTTCTGAAGGACTAAACTAGCGTCCTGTTCTTGTGTCTTAGAAAACTGTTGGACTGCTTTCTTGTTTGAAGTGTGTATTTTGGGGGTGGGGGGAAAATACCGTTCAAACTGTCCTTGTACTACAGTCCAATGCTTGTAGTAAAGTGTGGCTGTGGTTCTACAGTTTTGTCCCCAATACCAACTGAGTTTAATCATTTAGTCCTGCTGTTTAGTCTCATAACAAATCTGTTTGGAGACACCGTGTGAATGTCAGTTCGAGAAATGCACTGTGCCCTGGAAGCTGGCAACTTTCTCTTTCTGTGCAATCTTCCCATAGGAAAGAGTAGCGAATTTGTGTGTCCTTTGTTTCCTCTGTACATGAACAAAAGCTCTCAGAGTATGTTGGGTGTGTTTTGGCTGCTCTCAAAGGTCAAAAATTTCTGGTACTTGGATTCACAAGTCTGCTTGGAAGCATCACTCTGTGTTTCCTTCACCCTTATCTGATGATACAGAAAATGGGTAAAATGCTGGGAGACAGCCACAGGCTTGAAACATTTTATATTTTTTCTGTGTTTATTGCACTTAAAACATTTTATATATTAATCCTATTTATAAAAAATAAAACAGTTATATAACCCACTGGAAGGCTGAAAATGTTAGGAAAGGACAGGCTGCACACAGGACTGAGGTCTGTAATTATCACAACGCAGAACTCATGACAGAAAGGCACTGAGTGGCCTCATGGTGTATTCACACACCAAAGCTCTCTTCTCCATTTTCTAAATAGAAGTTTTGCAGATTCAGCAGTAGATACACCGATGTAAATCTTTCCTTGACATAAACCACATGATGAACCACATGATCATGGATGAACCATGATCATCCCTTGTGTCTTTTCCATGCTAGTGAGACTGTGCAAACATCCATGTTTTGTCCTTATAAGCCTCCATCTTCAAATGTGTTCTGGGCACAGGAACCCTTCAGTACTGGGGAGCACTCTGTGGGACCTGTGAGTCTTGACTGAATTACACAAGTCAGTCAGTGCCAATTCTGTTGTAGAGCAGGAGCCCTATGATATTTGAAGACAGGGAACCTAATTTCCAAGTATTTAATTGGATGTAATTGCACCAAATACACTTAAACAGCTTAGCATGTATTATGACATAGAGATTAAGCCCTATCCTAAAGCTCCCTGCTGAATTCATGCCTTCTTTGACTAGCTTGAAACTGAATGCCTGTCTTTTCTGTGACTAACCACAAATTGGTGTCCTAAATCCTGAAACTGCATGCCAGGCTAGTATAGGCCTTTGCAAAGCTGATGCCCTTTCTTAAAAAAAGCAGTTACTGGTCCTGTTCCCATATATTGAGTCAGGTTGAATCTGTGCTGCATTGCCCAGGTCTCAGTAGCTGAGTTGCCCTATTTGAAAAGCTGATCTTGCTCGAAGCTCTGTAAAATCCAGGTGAACTCTACACTTGGCCAGAAGTTCTCAGAGAAGATTGGTCTTCAGCCTCTCAGAGACATATTTTGCAGCTCTTATGCATCATTTTATTGCAGAGGAAGTTGCAGGGCTGCCAGATGCTAAAACATGGCCCTTTGTAATGCAACCAGTCCATACTGATTATTAACTCCTGGCTGATCAAAAGTATCTGATTTCATATCTTCTGTGGGAATATTAACAGGGTTTTTTTCCCCACTTCAAACAACATTTGTTCAGCTCATTTTCATAAGTTAACAATAAACTCAGTGGGAGAGGATTCTGATAATCCTTAAGGATCAAGAGGAATAGCAGTAGAGACATATTAATCCAGTCTGCTTTATAAGATTCTTTTTTTAATATATATTCACCCATTCAAAGGAAAAACTCAACTGTTTGTTACAACTAAAATACTTGCTACTTTTGATCAGGCCTGTCAAGTGGACAAAAGGAAATCTCTATTAATCTATATATATGTGCTATTGTTTACATGATTGCATCATACTGTGATTCCCCCCTTTTTCCACCTGCTATGACTTTGATTTATCCTTACAATGTGCATCATACTATTCAAAGAATTATACGAATATTACCTACAAATCACAATGGCCTTTAATCAATGTCAGTTTTATTCCTTTTGATACTGAGCAATAAATAATAAAGTGACTGAGTAAAAACAAAACAGGCCTTATGTGGACTGCATTACATCTGAGAAACTATTGCTTCTGAACCAAAGCTTTCATGTTTATCTCTTCTTTGTGGTTTTGGTTGGTTGGTTGGTTTTGTCTTTTTAGTGGGCTTTTGCTGCCATTCAATATATAGATGTAATTTATGCCTAATTTAGCAAGAGACACATATCGTACATGAGTCTTACTTTAAGCATGTGATTCATTGGCTATTTCCATGCTTAAAGCTGAAGTACTTTGCTAAATTAAGGTCATTTTACTCAAATTTATTTTGGATGCCTTACTCTGAATCCAGACAAGTATCTCATCACTTTTTTTACTACCATATGCAGTTTGCAATAGGTACTGTGTTAGCAAGCAGTTAAAAATCACACAGAAGATGGAATGGATTTTATCTGACATATGTTCAGAAAAATTGAACTTCAGAAGATAAATGCTGCTCAGATTTAATTTAATATTCTGCTTAATAAAGACTATGTGATGGTTGGAAGGAGAAAAGAAGTGTATGTGTCATGGCTTTTTGCATAAGACTATGGAATTTTTGGTTACCCACCTTGAAGAACAGTCACTAAATCCATCAGCAACAGATGTTACTGAGCATTTCCATTTAAAATTTACAGCATTTGCATTTGCCACACTTATCAAACCATTTCTAACGTATTTCTGCATTGTATGTAACATGTAGACTCAGGGGGAAGTTTTGTGGTGGGGCCACACTGAACACTTGTTTCTGGCATATCAGAAAGTAGTTTTAGCCATTCAACATCTCATCACAGCATAAAACTGCCTATAGAATATTTTCCTCTGTGCTAGCAAGAGCTGACCAACATGAATTATGAGCTGCCCAAATCATAATATTCTCCCATCAGTAAATAACACAATATCACAGTTTATTATGATGTCTTCTGCACTTGGCCATTTTGACTCAGTGGCTCCATCTGGAGAAGAGTGCTGCAGCACAACACTGTTGAGCTTCATTGCCCCTGGGAAACTACTTCACTTATGGCTATAAACATTAGATACCTTAGAATTGCTTACAGCCCTTTTTTCTAATTATTTGTCAACATTCAATTGACTAAATGTAGCACTCAGTGTCATCAGAGGAACATGCACAGGGTTGCCAGAAAGTGTCATGGGGGATTTGGAAGAGCTGCAACCTTCTAAAGAAGACACTGGAGACCATGTAGGTTTTCTAAAATGGAACTAGACAGATGTCTTTGTAAAATGAACCCAACTCATTTATTTTAAATATGTGCAGACAAGTCTGATTTATTGAGCATTTAAAAGACATCTTTCTTTCCATAAAGGATGCTGAATAAATGCAGTATGCATTTATCAATCTTATCCCATTTAAATCCAAAGTTCAAAAGAACCCTTGAATGCCATAGGGACTAAAGTTCATCAGTAAAATGCAAAAGGCTCATCAGTGTTACTGTTCTCCCAAAAACCTATGATGTCATTTGTCTGATCTATTTATATCTGTACCAGATAACACCTGACTACCACATCTTGTACCTTTTTACCATACCTCTGAAGGTACTGCTCATGATTATTATTAGAAATGAGAAAAGAGGTGCATTTTTTCCCCTTTTTATAGAATTTCCTTTACTGGCTGGTGGGTAAGGGTCACTTACCTAAATAGAACATATAAAATATAAGGAGGAAGGAGTGTGAATGATATTCCCATGCATACTCCTTCTGTACTTTGCTCTACTACAAACAGGATCAGACCAATACAAGTGTTTCATTTCATATTTGAGGCATTTCATAATAAATGTGGTCCCAAATTATCATCCAGATTTTGCACACTACATTTTGCAATGCAAGGAGAATAAATATTTTCCCCAGTGGGAATATATGTCATCACAATGTTGAGTTTTCCACGGCTAAAAAGAGCGTCTGGATCTAAGAGGTACATGAGAGTTATTTTTAAAACCATCCTTTATATAGAAAACTGTTATGTGCCTGGAGAATGAACACTTGGCACAGTTGGTACAAAAGAGGCCCAGGAAAACTTTAGTAGGACTGCTGCAGGTCATCATGTACATCCATCTCTTGAGTGGCCCAAGAAACTCTGCACAGCACTTGCCTACATTAATGTCCTTTTTTCAATCAAATGAGCTTAAATTAATTTCTCATTTTGTTCATGTACATACAAGAAACACATGCATAAATATGTAGGTATATCTTACATAGATTAACACCAATCCAATTGCAATAGTACATGCTCTTAAAAAGTCTGTCATGACTGAACTTTTCCTTATCTTACTGTGCTCAGCACTGAGTTACAGTAGTGGATGGTGCCCAATAAGTACTGAGACAGGCAGCTAGATGGACAAAGTCTAGAAGTTTTGTCTGTATTAGACAATGTATATAATATATAAAGCCAGAGTTGCAGCAGCTGAACTGGAAATAACACAATACATGGAGCAGAGTCTAGATGCTCACTGCTCTGAAGTGCACGTTGTTCATCAGGCTGCAAGAGAGGACTGCATGCCACATACAAATTGGCAGCCTGAAAACACTGTCAGAACATCATGTAAATCATACTGCTTTGACCCAACACCTCACAATAATGAGATATTGAAAATAAAGAATAACTTCTCCTGGGACACCTGAAGGAGAGGAAGCCAGGAGGCTTTAAAAAGTGCTAATCAGTCACACATGCACACCATGAGAAGCACACCTAAATCTACCTTAATTAGAATGAAGTAAATCAATGTCTGGATAATTACTATGCTACCAACAGTTTGCCAGCTGACAGGGTCAGAGGCTGACAACACAAAACTGAGAGACCGGGGGGTTATTTCAGCTTTGCATCACAAACAGGAAAAAATGAGACATAGCTGTGGGTAAAATTCAATGTTTAACAGAAGTCGTGCAGCAGTGCTGCAGAAGCAAACCCTTCAGTGTGTGTTTTCTGTTCCATGTAGCCTTCTTCCCCTAGCAGGCCCAGTTTGGGTGGCCATGGCAGCAGATGCCACCCCTTGATCTTTTCCAAGGGCAGCACTGCAGGAACATGGGCACAACCGCAAAGCAGACCTTTGGGTTCTTTCCAGACTGCCTACCCCATGCCAACAGAGCCAGCCACTCCACATTTCAGCCCAAAGCCTTGGAGTCTGGCCTTCTTGCATGCCCCAACAGTGTTGCAGACTGCACTGCAAAACATGGTGGTTCTTTGTGCCTCCCTGAGAGGGGTCACTCACCTCTTCTGGTCCTGGTCCTTCTC